TGTGTGTGTGTGTGATCTGATCCGGATGGTTACTAATTCCTTTTCTTTATGGCATTTTTTTACCGGGAACACCATGGGTGTTACAAAGTTGACTAAATCATCCAGAATTCAATGAAAGTGGTGATCAGCAATTTAATATGACAACAGGAGGGTTAAGTGAAACATCAACTCACTTCAGCATCCGTTCATTGGACTCGTCGTCCATGTTCAGGGGATTGAGCGAATACGAGGAGATGATACCAAAGGAGCCCAGCGGCTGATTAGTGATCGGCGAGGTAGCCTGTCGAGCGGACATCCCATTGATGGAAGGAGAGTCTCTCAGAGCAGAAGAAAATGGCAGACAGGTGGGGGCGCAGGACACCGACATGTTCACCACCTCCACCATCTTCTTATTCACGAAGGCCAGCCCAGAGTTGGGTATCTTAGCGGGCTTCGTCTGGCCCTCTAAAGGCTCTTTTTCACTGGTTGATATCCCATTGAGGTCGACAGGTGACGCGATATCATTGGCTATCAACCCTGAAAGGTTACTGGGCCTCTGAGCAATGTTTCTGGGGAGATGTCTGGTTTGTTGAAGCCTTAAAAGATCCAGACACTCCTGGTCTTCAACATGAATAACTTCGCTCTCATGGAAACGTTGCCACTCGTCGTCAGAGTTAATTCTCTCCTGAGCTGCTGAACTTTTATGCACACATGGTCTGTTTCCATAGCTGCAGGGCGCTGTTTCTGTTTCAGCGAAATGCACATCCTCCACTGAGGCGCTCTCTCCACTGATGTGTGTTTGATGGTTCTTATTCTCCCCCTGGCTGCCAATAACAGCACTTTCCTTCACATGAGGGCTCTCTTGTAAAATCAGTCCTTCAGACACACCACTTAACACGGACTGGGTTAAGCTCGTCTCTGGCAGGCGCTGAGCAGAGCTTTCAGAGCTAAGACTCTCCTCCAGGATAAGATGTGTCGCTGAACTCGGATCTAATACAGACGATTCTGTTTGAACTGAATCCAGGTTGCTGCTCAAAGAAGAGCAGTTGATATTCAGTGAATGTTGCACTAAGCTATCTATTTCCTGGTTGAGGACACGGTCCTCCTCAGTGTCTTCAGGGCTGCTGATCTGCGGTGCCGACACAGATTTGGTCAGTTTGCTGAGCTGCCTCTGATCGTCCTCATAGGGCAAGGAGCTAATAGAGGTGAGGGAGGCTTGTATACCTCCGCTGCCGTTGCTCTCCATTTGGAGGCCTTCCAGGGAGCTTCTGTGAACCCGGTGGCGGCACACTATTTGCCGTGGGATCTCTCTTTCGCTGGAGAAGTCGAGGGGAGGTCTGCCTCTCAGCACAGCCTCGAGGGGCCAGGCCACTGAGCTGGGCTCGCTCTCGATGCCTGAGTCAGAAATAACGGAGGACGAGCGCTTCATGGTCTTGGAGCCCACCAGGCCACCGCGGTGAATCAACTCTTTTCTGAGATCGCCCGGAAAGGTTGATATAACCGGATGTGCGTAGGAAGTCTGTACGCTGCCAGGAGGAACATCTTCACTCTCATCGTCCATAGAGTGGTTTAATGGCATGGCAATATCAGACTCCTCTTCAGTGTTTTCACTCTCTCTCGCGTTGCTGTCGCTGGTTGCATCACAGAGTTGGATGGTATTTTCTAACTGATGTTCAGGAGACTCATCACTGATGGTATTGGTGTCAATGAGGGAGTGGTGGTTTGAGGAGAGGACATCACAAGGCTTAACTTCAATGAACCTCAGATCTGGATTACAGCTGTCCACATCCTGGTCTTGTGTTTCCTCTGGTTGCTTTAAGAGTTCTGCCTCTAGTAGAGAGGGTTCAGCATTGTCTTTAGTTAGGATGATGTTCTGGGTACTTCTGATGTTACTGCTGGTCTTACTCTGCTCTGCCATGAGTGACATATATGTGGGCAGGTCCATGCAGTCATCAATGTCCATTTGATCCTTGAGTTTTGCTGCTGTTCTGTCTTCCTGCCTGCTTTCAAAAATCCCATTGAGACCTGGGTTGGTCTTCCCATCAGCGGTTGGCACATGTGATTCCCACTCTGGAAAGAGAAAGGCATTGCACTTAACTTTATGTAATAGTGTTAGGAAAATACTGAATGTCCTCTTCCAACATCAGAGTACTCATGATGACAAAGGTATCCCAACTGTAGCTGTAAATATAACAGGATGTGTGATGACCTAGAAGAGCATCAGGACTGTTTGAGGCATATGATAGCTACTTGATTAACATGATGATTCAGCCTCTATGGAGAGAGACATATGACAAGCATGCTCATTTCTGACGTGGAGCTGAAGTAAACATTGAATACTGCTTTCTATTCCTCCATCTTGTGACTGTGTAACTCCCTCTCTTGGATATCAGCATGTGAAGGACACTGTTCAGGAACTAGCTGATGCTCTGTATGTGATGACTACTTCCATTCTGGAGAGGATCACAGATACAAGTTCTAATTTTGAGATTTTGAGAAAAAGTCCCAATTTTGAGATTTTGAGAAAAAATTCTAATTTTGAGATTTGTAGAAAAAGTCCTAATTTTGAGATTTTGAGGAAAAAAAATAAAAAAAGGAGAATTTTGAGAAAAATTCCTAATTTTTAGAAAAAAGTCACAATTTTTAGAAAAATTCATAACTTTTAGAAAAAGTGAGAAAATGTCATAATTTTTAGAAATAATCATAATTCCTCCTTCTTGTGACTGTGTAACTCCCTCTCTTGGATATCAGCATGTGAAGGACACTGTTCAGGAACTAGTTGATGCTCTGTATGTGATGACAACTTCCATTCTGGAGAGGATCACAAATACATGGATCCTGAGATTCAAGCTCAAGCCGGGGACCAGTGATATTTTTTTAACAAATAGCAAAATAAAATGTATTTAGCTGTGAATCATTTCTTATATTACCTGTTTGAGGAGATTCCACGTATCGGTCCTCGAAGATGATCGGCAGGCTGTTCCAGTCTCCATCGATGTCCAGGCACTCGACAGGTAGAGGAGGCATCTTGGTCAGATAGTCTGAGCTCCGCACGTCTGCAGCTATCTGGCCATGTCTATTGATCCTGAATGAAGAAGAAGAATAATACCATGGTTGAACTTTTCTCCATATGTAGAATAACGTGTTTTATCATGGGTGGGCTAATATACGAAAGCCCTGTAAGGGAAGTTGGCAGGGCAAACAATCTTGAGATCCATTTTTCTAAGTCTGATTCAAGTTGATTTACCTCGTTGGTTCATGACTTGAGAACACAAGTTCCTTTTCTTTATGTGTGAAAGATTAAAATAAGGTTTTGGCAGGTCTGAAGCAGCAGCATCTTATCTCTACGTGTTCGTTGTTTTTAAGCTAATTGTGGCTACAGTAGGCTGAAGTGCAGCACTACCCAATGATCCACATTACCAGTCAAAAGTTTGGAAACACCTTCTGTCATCCCTCGCAAATGATGTTAAGTTTAGTTAAGTGTCTTTGTCTAGTGATTTTCCCCTTTATTTTTGAATAGTAACCTTCCCTCTCGTTTCAGATACTCTGACCTCCCTTCCTTGTGTGTCTCCCACTCCTGTGATTGTCGACCCCGCCCCTGATTGTTTCCACCTGTTCCCCCATTGGTGTATTTATTGTCCTCGTCCCCCTTTGTCCTGTGCCAGTTCGTTTCGTTCCTTGTGACTACAACCAGCATTATCAATCCAGGATTACCCCCACGCTGTCAGACACAAGTACGGGCACGAGCAAAAAATAGGACTCAAGAGCACAACCAGGCAAAAAGGTCTTTAGTCAAGCGTTTAATCCAAAAGGTAAAAATAAAACAGGCAATGATCAAAAAATGTACTGACTGGAAGCAACAAAAAAACAACCAACTAAGTTTGCGGAAAACTACTAAAGTAGCTAAGAAGAAAACAACCAACTAGGTGGTACAAATGCTAAGCAGCTAGCTAACAATAGCTTATGTCAGGAGAGTAACATGGAGCACTTTCTGCTATACAGAAAAGACGAACTGGCACTGACCAAGGAAACAGCACGGACTAAATACACAGGTGAGGAATGATCATTAGGGACAGCTGAGGCTCAATGAGTATTTTTGTTGCTCATGCTCCTAGTATTTTTCCTATTTAAGAGTGATTTTGTTTTTTGTACCACCATAGCTGAGCTTTGGTTTGAATAAACCTTTTTTTGTTAAATCCTGTGTGAGTTGTGCACTTGAGTTCATACCCGTTCAATCAGTCGTAACACCTTCTCATTCGAAGGTTTTTATTTACTGGATAATTCCATATGTGTTCTTTCATAGTTTTGATGTCTTCAGTATTAATCTACAAAGTACAAAACATTTTAAATAAACGAAAACCATTGAAAGAGAAGGTGTGTCCAAACTTTTGACTGGTTCTGTACATAAGACGAAGACATGTTTATGTTTTCTTAATGGTGAGACTTCATTTTGTAACTTGCATTTAGAAAGATGGCAAAACCTTTTATGACGTGTTCCTAAGTCATGAACACAGGAGAGACTGCTTTCAGATCAGACTTTGGAAATGGATCGTAGAAGAAAAAAAAAACCTCTCATGGCTCCTAATACTTACAGTTCCTCTTGAAAAGTCAGAGATATCTCTTTGGGGTGTTCTGTGAAGAAGTACGCCTCGGAGAACCTTCTGACCTGGATTTGCCAGAAACAAGACAAAACATTGTCACATCAGTGGAGCCAGAGTCTCGTCTTTATTGGCATTACAGCACAACATTATGAAAACAGTCGGAAATTCAAGCTCTGCAACACAAACACGGATTCAATCACTTCTTCAGGTCTGTGAAAAAACATGCAAGGTTGTTTCAATTAGACATGCATCGTGCTTGTGAGTCAGCCAGTGTTAAATCACCAGGAACACCGTTTGTGGTGTAATTCCAGCCCATAATAATTACAGAATGAGTGTTAATTGAAATCCTAGCTCCACTGGTGGGTGGAGGCATGACAGTGTGCCCTCGGGGTAATCTAGAACGAAAGCAAACATGTTCATTATTTTTAGACAACTGAGGCGAAACAATGCCACATAAGAGAGCCGCTCCACTGTGAAGCATTTCATATTAAACAGCTCAGTGATTAGAAATGTATTAGTTTACTCAGCGGGGTTTAAACGACATCCATGTTATCATTTCGTTTAATATTATCTCCGCCAAGACGCTATGTTTTCAGTCTGTTTGTAAAGATTTCTTCCTCACCAAAGCTGTTTAACCCTCCTATTGTCTTCATTCCCCCCCCCTTACTTTGGTGTACGCTGTCAAATTTAACCGGTCCTGTTTTAACTGCTATTACATTAACACAAAAACCATTAATCATCACCACATTTCATTTAACACCCTTTCAAACTGTGCATATTGTCTCAGACTACTGGTATACATGAACAACTGCAGTAAATATACAAAGAACAGACACTGAACATGTATTGTGTGTGCCAAGTGTGATCCATGTAGGGGGATGGGCGCATAAGGTGTGTGTGTGTGTGTGTGTGTGTGTGTGTGTGTGTGTGTGTGTGTGTGTGTGTGTGTGTGTGTGTGTGTGTGTGTGTGTGTGTGTGTGTGTGTGTGTGTGTGTGTGTGTGTGAGAATGAATGCTTGTCCATGTAGTCTGAGAGGTGTGTGTGTGTGTGTGTGTGTGTGTGTGTGTGTGTGTGTGTGTGTGTGTGTGTGTGTGTGTGTCGGAGCCCTCCCACTGAGGGCGAGGGCCCAAATTTGGTCTCGAGTGGTGCTCTGTC